TATATCTAAATGGTGTTTTATGCTCTTCCTACTTTATCTATTTTAAGAACTTAATATCATCTTTAGGGAGGATTTAACTTTCTTAAACTACATCTGACACCCACTTCTAGCACCAGCCTCCCAATATCATAAAGTTCTAGAAAAATTTTTGCTTAGGTCAGTATCCAGGGCTTACATTATTATCATTATGTATTCTCATACAATTTATTATGATTATATTTTCTTTCTTGATCTTATTGTTTTTCTTGAACCACAGCCTTCTTTTCATGATTTTCTTGGCTTTGAATGTAACTGTCATTAATTCTTCCCTCAAATTCTCTGAAGGGAACTGCAAAATTCTTCTCAGTATTAAAACACATCAGTTCCTTTTCTTCTTAATTTCTCAGGTGATCTTTGTCGTTACTGACTTTTTTATTCTATCAACTTGTACTACATATTTTGTTCTATCAATTGATGAAAGAGGGATGTTAAAATCTCCAACTAGGACCATACAATTATTTATTTCTCCTTTTAATTCTGTCAGTTCTGCTTCATGTATTTTGAAGTTCTGTTATTTGATATATAAACAATCATGATTGCTATGCCTTCTTAATGAAAGGACTGTTATTACTATGGAATGAGCCTCTTTATTTTTAGTAATACTCTTTATTTTGAAGTCTATTTTACCTATTTTTTTTTTAAGATTTTATTTATTTGACAGAGAGAGAGAGTGAGAGAGGGAACACAATCAGGGGGAGTAGGAGAGGGAGAAGCAGGCCTCCCGTGGAGCAGGGAGCCCGATGTAGGGTTCGATCCCAGGACCCTGGGATCATGACCCAAGCCGAAGGCAGACGCTTGATGACTGAGCCACCCAGGCGCCCTGTTTTACCTATTATTCATGAAATCACTTCTGCTTGCTAATACCTTTTTTCTCCATTAGTTTTCAACTTATCTGAGTCTTTATATATAAAGTGTTTCTTGCAGGCAATGTATAGTTGGTCTTATTTTTAAAAATCCATTCTTACAATCTCTGCCTTTTATTGGAGTTTTAGTCCATTAACATTTAATGTAATCATTGATAATGTATTTAATTCTGCCATTATATTATTTGTGTTCTTTTTATCCTATTTCTTCTTTGTAACTCCTTTTTACTTTATTTTGAATTATTTGAATAATTTTAGAATGCCATTTTATCTACTGACTTTAGCTGTACCTCTTTGCATAATTTAACTTTTTACAGTCTACTTAGATTTAATGAATTAATATTGTACACTTTATGTAAAATGTAGAAACCTTCAGTTGTATAATTCTATTTTATCCCCCACTCCCTCTGTGTTATAGCTGTCATAAATATTACACCTTCATACATTATAAATGCTACAAGATAATTTCACATTTTTTGCTTTAAACAGTCCTATGTATTTTAAAGAAATTAAGAAAAAAACCCAATTTGCATTCAGATATATACAATTTTTATTCTCTACATTCCTTCCTAAAGTTTCAAGTTTTCCTCTGATATCATTTCCATTTAGCCTAAATAATGTCTTTAATATTTCTTATTGTGCATGTCTGTTTATGGTTTCACTTAAAATTTTTTTAAATCTGACAATGTCTTTATTTTGCTTTTATTCTTAAAGATATATTCATCAGATAGGAAATTATAGATTGTCAGTTTTGATTTTCACTAGCACTTTAAAGATATTGTTGCACTGTCTTCTTACCTCTGGAGATTTTGATGAGAAGTCATTGGTCATTTGAACCACTATTATCTTACATGCAATATGTTGTTTTTCTTTGGTTTGAAAATTTTTCTTTATTTTTGCTGATTTGACTCTAATGACCTAGGTGTGATTTTCTCTATATTTATCTTACTTAGGATTTGCTGAGCTTCTTGAACCTATAAATTTATGTCTTTTACTAAATTTGGGAAGGTTTTGGTCATTATATCTTTAATTATTTTTCTGTTACATCCTCTCCACGGTTCACAAATCTCTCTTTCTCTCCCTCTTTTTATATTCATTTTTCCCTCTCTGTTCTTTAGACTGGATTATACCTATTGATTTGTCTTCAAGTTCTGTTACACCACCCAGTGATTTTTTCATTTTCTATTTTTATTTTCATTTCTAATTTTTTTTTCAGTTCTAGAATTTCCATTAAGTTCTTTTTTAGTATCTATTTTTTGCTGAGATTTTGTATTTTTTATTCTTTCCAAACACATTATCCTCTACTCCATTAGACTTAGTTACAACAGCTGTTTTTATAATAGCTGCAGCTAAAATCTAGATTTATCTACTAACCCAATATCTGGATCATCTCTGGGTTGGTGTCCACTAATTGTTCTTTTCCTCAAGGGTAGGCCATATTTTCCTGCTTCTTCATTTGTTGAGTAATCCTTAGTTGTATTCTGGACATTGTGAATGTCTGGATTTTTTTTTTACTTTTCTCTGAAGAATATATATACTTCTGTTTTACCAGGCAGTTACTTTTCTTAAACTCAAATTATAAACTCTGTCTCTTGGGCAGTAGCTCAAATTTTATTTCAGTTTTGTTTGTTTGTTCATCTTGCTTTTTTGTTTTTTGGGGTTTTTTTTTTTTTTGGTTGGACTGTGTGCAGTCAGCCCCATATACATTGATGGCTCGGGAGTCAGACTCTTGGCCCGAGTTTTTACACAGAATCTAGGGTTCCCCTCTCTGAATATCTTTTTCCCAAGATTCCCCTTTCACTTTAAGCAGCTGTTTGTCCCAAACTCTGTTCTCTGGTTCTTCAGGTCAGAAAGTTTGTATGTTTCTATTGGAGTTTTAGCTGTTTTGTGGTTCTGCTTTCAACTGGCCCTGAGGCTAAAAGTTGTAAACAGGTAACTCACCTTATGCTAATACCTTCATCCAAGTTTCAGTGTCCCCCTAGAACCTTCTTGCTTTTGTCCACTTTCCAGTATTTTTAGGCAGATTTTTTTTTTTTAAATTTTGCAGAGTTCACAGTATGAAAATGTCAAATCTGGTAGGAGCTTACCAGTGATATCAGAAGCAGAGGAGCTCTTTGTGGGGTTTTTTTGCATCCCTTCTTTATCTAGTTGTTTGTTCTTTGTCTTTAATGTTCAAGGTTTCTGGAAATATCTGGTCCTTCATCTTTTGTTCCTGTTTAAGATGTTCTGTATGCAAACCATTATTCTCAGAGGATGAGTCTCATCATAGAGTGGTTAAGCAAAGATTGGCCATTTTGGGGGGTAACTTCAAAATCTTATTTTTCCCCTTGAGGACATTCAATTTTTCTGGGGAACAATCTTCCAATTTCTTACTGTAGGAAATCTGCTTGGATGCCTGCAAAGTCAAATTGAGGAAGGGCCTCGGGGTTCAGCATTTGGACTTCTAATGAATCCTTCCATTTTTAGCTCAGTAGCTTTACATCTCCCTGGAATCTGTTTCTCCAGAGAGTAAACCTTTCTAACTTCCGTTGGGGTGATGGAGGTAGTTGTAGGGTTGTACAGGTTGAAGAAGCTAATCTAAAGGTCTAACTGTTCCTTAATCAGACTTTCTTTCTTTCTTTTTTTTTTTTTTAAAGATTTTATTTATTTATTTGACAGCATGAGAGGGAACACAAGCAGGGGGAGTGGGAAAGGGAGAAGCGGGCTTCCTGCAGAGCAGGGAGCCCTATGCGGGACTCGATCCCAGGCCCCTGGGATCATGACCTGAGCTGAAGGCAGACGCTTAACTGACTGAGCCACCCAGGCGCCCCTCCTTAATCAAATCAGTTGAGTCTTTTGTTTTCAGCTCCACCTTACTCCTGGATTCAGAGGTTCCTGGTGACTCCAATGTCTTGGGCTTTTCGGGAGTTGTATTAAAATTGGATAGTTTCTTATTGGCTGTGTCGCTTCTGCCATCTCCAGGCAGTCTTGTTTTTGCTTTTTCCATTCTGTTAATTCAGTTACCATCCATCCTACTTCTGTCTGCCACAGTGTTATTAAAATATAGTCTGTTGTGTGCTCTGCACATGTACTCTATGTCCTTTTATGCCTCTTTATTCCTTTACTTTCATTTTTGGTGGTGTTTTTGGAGGAAGGTGGCATTGTTGGAGGAAGGTTTTCTCTTCCTTTATTCATAAAGAGTGAATGAATTATAAAGGGCCAATTTGAGTAGAAAACCTAACTTTTCTAGTAAACAACAAAAAAAGACTTTTCATTGTATGAGGTTAAAATCATAATCAATCAAGAAAAACATGATCGCTTACTCTCCAGCAGGAGAATCAAGTAGAGGGTGGTAGTGCTAATGAATGCCTTAGAATCATGGAGTTTCTGAGCCATAAGGAGCAGGTTTTTTGGAACAGAAAATTTCACACTTTTTTAGTGGTACTCATTTTTTCTTAAATGAAATTTTACTTGCACCTCAATATATAAAACAGGAAAAGTTATGAATTTTTTCCCCCAGGCATTTAAATTTTTTCTTTTGTAAAACCACTGAGCTCATTCCAAGAGCTTTGGGATTTCCCAGTGTACAGATGGAAAACCGTTGCTTTGGTGGTGACATTTTGTAAGGCTTTAGCCCAAACAGTGTGCACAACCATCTCTCTGGTGTAAGTGCTTTGAAAACGTTAAGAAGCAACAATGCTTTTAATTAAACTATGATAAACTATATACATGTTTATGTGTATGTATATAAACTATAACTGAGCTTGCACTCTGTGGGCATTATTTTATGGGTTTTATACACAGTATCTCATTTAATTCTCACAATGATGCTAGGAGGAAGGCATGATGGTTACTCCCATGTTGTAGGTGAGGAAACGGAGGCCTGGAGAGAGTGAAGTCTTGTTCATGGATACATAGCTAGGAAGTGGAAGAGCCAGGCCCCAAACCCAGTTTGGTCTGCCTCAAAGCCTATTTACTTGACACACAACACTGGGCTTGATCTGGTGGTCTTGGCCCCTCATGGTGTGTGTGTTGTACCCACAGCAGTCTCCCATTTGTGACAAAGCTATAATGATGGAACAGGTCCCAACAAAAGCAATGTATGTCTCTAATCCTCAGGCAGCAGCAGCTCCCAGATACTCCACCCTACTCGGCATCAGACTCCTGTTCTCCTCCACAGACCAAAGGTGAGTGCACTCTGCCTGCCGCACACCCTGCCGTGCCCCTCTTCTTGGACACTGGCTGGTCAGAAAGAGCCCTTCTCACCTGTGTGTTCCCCCAGGTGCATGCTGCCCGGCCGTGAGACCCGCAGCCGGGAAGACTCCTGCTACTTTTCTCCACTCGGCAGCTGCTCCTGGGACGCTCCCTGCACACCTGCCACAGAGCTCGTGTGAAATGAGGGGCTCTGCCCACAGCCACGGCAGCTTTCGCAACTGCTACCCAGACACCAGGCATCTTACGACCCCCCCGGACCGATGCGTGTCCTCCCATCTGGGGATAAGCCGTCCTTACCATCAGCAGCCTCTGTGCCACAGCCCTGGGTAAAGGGCAAGATATTTAGTTATGAAAGACCCCAGAGCAGCCAGCACCCCCCCGTGGTGCCAGTAAAGCATGAACAGTGGCATTCTGTCCAGGAGATGGCGGTGTTGAGACATATATCCAACACGGCAAGGCCCCAGTGCTCTCGGCTCTAGACGGTCTTTGAATTAAAAGCTCACTAAACCGAAAGTCCTCATTCAATGGAAAGTTAAAATGTCAGAAATATATGGGGACATTCTGAGTGATGGAGAAAGCACTGTTTGCATTTGCAGCCTCAGCTAGAATACGCAAGTAATTTGTGAATGAGCTCTCAGAAGAATACTTGTTGATTAAGCATTAATATTCTTCTTTTTTTCTGTTTTCCTTCCTCTTCTCCTCTTCTCTTTCATTCCTCCTTCTGAATCTAAAGAATGGCAGAAAGATTAAAGGTCCTCAAAAATTGTGGTAAAATTCCATGTGAAAAAAATTTCAGGTGTAAAATGTATACATATTTTATATACTTCTATTTTATATATGTATATACTATATTTTAAGTTTGTATCTTCTCTGTCTCAGTGAGTCTTCTGCCTTTGGAAATATTGTCAGTTTATTTTTCAAGTAGGTGAATCTCAGATCTATTGGATATTGGAAAGCTAAGTTTCAGACCAGTAGGGCTCATGGAATAGGAGTTTGTCCTGTCCACTCATGTACAACCTAGTAGTATTGCAGACTAGTAGGCCTCAAGGAGTCTCAACCAACAGCAATAAGTCTTAAGAAGGCCGAGAGCAGAGACCTGGGAAACTGAATCTGATTTAATGTAACATGGAGAGCAAAAACTCCTAACCTTCATTTTGGGTTCTTGATTCTAGAGCCTCATTGCCACCAACCAAGAAGAGAAAGTGCACACAGACGCTGGAGGACTCCAGGGACTGTCACATGTGGGCCCATCACTCCAGACCAAGTGAGCCAACTTGGGGCCAGTCACTGCTTTCACCATTAAGTCAGGGATTTTGACCAGCCTTGTAGTAGCCCTACAAAATTATTTTCACTTTCATAGATGGGCAAGGGTAAGCCCTGGGAGTTTCTTTCTTTCCTCTTGACATATTGTTTCATGCAGTCTTAGGTGGAGTCATGCAGATGCTCCTAGGAAGAGACGCCATTCTCTCTCTCTCTCGCTGGTGGAGATGAAATGCTGGTCCTTTCGATTTTAGGGGCAATGTGTCTCAGAGGACACAGGCTCCAGGCCAGTGGAAGCTTGCAACGTGGCAGCACGTTCAAGAGCCTGCTGTTGTGCTATTGCTTTGTCTGCTGCAATCCTTCTCAACTTGAGGGTGCACACAGATAAAATAGGGATCTAGGTAAAATGCAGGTTCTGATTCAGTAAGCCTGAGATGGGGCCTGCGGTTCTGCACTGCTAACAAACTCCCAGTGCTACTCAGGCTGCCGGCTCATGGAAGCAGACTTTGGAGGATTTCTCCAGTGGAACAGAAAGGTAGAGAGTTGAGCTCCCCTAGCAGTCGCTTTAAGTTAGCAGGTTCCAAGTAGATCTTTAAGACTTTGTAAGATCATTTAGAAGTCTTTCAGCAGAATCATATAATGCCCAAGGGGTCAGACTACCTTATTTTTGGTCTTATGTAACAGGTGACACATCATGTTTTGAGCTTAGAGACCTCTTCGAGTTGTGAACAAATTGGGGTTTTGGAGTCTGCAGCCTTGAACTTTCAGAATAAATGCTATGGCACTTACTAGGCAAAAGGATAATACTCCATGCCTCCTCTATTAGCTGCTGTAAATAATCAGATGTAGGCAGTGTGAATAGCAGCCCAGATTCAGGGTACATCTCATTTATTACCCTGCATCAGCTGGCAGGGCATTCAAGATTTCTGTTTTGGAGCTCCCTTCCCACTATTGTCCCCAAACTCCAGGGCTTTCTACTGCCCTGAAAGGATGCAGGTGGCTTCCTCGCCTGCTTGAGTTGCTGCCTTTGTCTTTCACAGCCTCACGATTAGAGCTGGTCCTCTGTGCTTGCCTGTGGAGCCTGCTGGTCCTTTCAGGGATGTCTGGCCTCAGCTCCAGCATGGGCTGGGAGGTCCTTCAGCCAAGGCCCACATGTGCCGCCCCCTGGGAGTGCTGTGGTGGAACTGCATCCAGGCATCCAGCCCTCGCATGAACCAAACCTCTCACTGCCTCCTTTTCTTTTGCATGGATCCACCCTGGCCAACAGTTGCTTGGTTTTTTTCTTATTCAACCCTTGAAACAGAAAATGCTAAATAAAGTCTCCTTTCTGGATAATGTAGAGCTCACCATCCAGCTTCCTATGTGAGCGTACTCTAATTTCTTCAAGAATCCTTACATCTAGCCTGCAGCTTCTATGTGATTCTCAAACACAAAAGGCTGAGTAAATTCCTAGCCAGACGAGGGAACCATCTGTTCGCTCTCCCACAGATGCACCAGCCCACTGAGAGAACTGGGCAAGCCACCCAAACCTTCCAAGCATTTCCTCATCAAACCAGATTGCTGCTCAAATCGTCTTGGCCATTTCAGGGTTAAGCTCCATCCTGTGATGATTTTCTGCTGCCTGTCTCTGGAGAGGACATTGATTTTTCACCATTTCCAGAGAAAGTCATGGTAGAGTAACTGAAATGTCTCAACAGATAGGAAATCTTGAATCCCTTGCTTAAGTCCTATTCAGACAAAGGTCACTGAAAAGCTGACTAAAAATAATTGGCTCCAGACAATGGTTCCAGAATGTAAATGAACACCTTCCCAGGGCTGGGGGGGTGGGGGTGGGGGGTTGGGGAGGCAACAATCCAAATGCTATGTTTTCATTACAGTTTATATTTTCAGCAGTTTTCTAGTAGAGAAGTCATATTTGATGTGGCAGAGGCCAAGGGTTTTTACAAAGGTCCTGGGGAAATGGTACATGGGAGGAGGAAGGAGGAGCTTATGCTAGTCTTATTGGGCAGGGATTTTGATGGGAGGAGAGGTTCTACATCAGTCAGGAAGGCTTTTCTGGTGACCTTCTCCCAAGCAGTTCACTTTGTCCACAGGTTCCAAGATTCGCATTTATAGGCTCACAATGTAGAATCACTGGGTTGCTGTGGGCAGATGTAAAATCTTGCTTAGAGAGAAAATAGCTGGTGGGCAGACTCCTGCTGGCTGTTTCCAGCCCCACATGGTCTAGACCCCATGTATGAGAGCGTTCCTGCTTCCATCTGATCTGAACCCCAAATATAAGAGGGTTCATGGACTCATATGGTTTGAACCTCAAAAATAAAAGGGTTTTTTCAGCCCCAGAGTTGTGGTCTTTGGCCCCCGGGAGAGGTGCACTGGCTGAGTTCACACTGTAAAGTCAGAAAAAGTATTTGTCTCATCTCCTCAGCAACTAGGGACTTTCTGAGATTGGCTTTTTTTTTTTTTTTTAAGATTTATTTATTTATATGAGAGAAATTGAGAGAGAGAGAGAGAGAGCACGGAGTGGGTGGTGCGCAGAAGGGGAGGGAGGGGGACAAGCAGAAACCATGCTGAGTGGCTGGATCTCAGGACCCTGAGGTCACCACCTGAGCTGAAACCGAGAGTCAGATGCTTAACCAACTGCGTCACCGAGGCACCCCGAGAGTGACTTTTCTTGATTATCAAATGAGAATCATAATTTCTACTTCACCCATTTCTAAGATTTTTTTTAAAAGTAATGTATAAAAGAATATTTTTAAAGACATTAAAATGCAAGCTATGAGTTTTTCCAAAAGGTGGGAACTTGGTCAGTTTCCTGCCTTCACACTTCTATTCCTCTTTTGCTACATGTTCTCAAGACATCCTCAGTGTAGCATGAAGGGAAGAGGATGGTTTGAACCCCGTCTCTTCCACTTAATAGCTATGACACTGGGCAAGTTATTTCAGGTGGTTGAGCCCCAATTTCCACATTTGTTAAATGACATTAGGAATCCTGACCTCATAACCTCTCTATAATCAGTCTGGTTGCATCGACTAATGCATATCCTATAACCCAGTAATTCCACTGCTGGGACTATGCCTAGCAGAAATGTGTACATACACCCACTAAAAGACACGCACAGAAATATCCATAGCAGTGTTACTTACAATAACCACAAACTGAAAATAACCCAAATGACCATCAAAGGCAGGATAAATTGTATATTCCTACAGTAATGGAAATGAGGAAATGACTGCCATTTGCAACAGTAATGAGGGAATCCCATAAACATAATGTTGGGGAAAAGAAGCTAACACATAAGAATACATATCATATAATTCCACTTCTATAAACTCCTCTATGGTATTAGATTTTAGAATAGTGATTTGTCTTGGGCAGGAGAAAGTAGTAGCTGGAAGAGGGCATGAGGGTGTCTTCTAGAGTGGTGGACATGTCCTATTTCTTGGCCCAGTGATAGTTACCCAGTATAATTCATTTTATTAGAAAGTATCAAATTGTGTACCAATGAAATGTGTATTCTTCTTTATGTATATTATACTTCAGTAAAGAAAGTTTATTGAAAAAAAAAAAAGGCATCCTTACCTTGAAGAGTTGATGAGAAACTATGTCAAGTGTCTTGGTGCACTTGGGGAGGTCCACACAGGAGGGTGCCTGGGTGACTCATTTGGTAAAGAGTCTGCTTTTGGATGATCCTAGGGTCCTGGGATCAAGTCCCATATCAGGCTCTCTGCTCAGTGGGGAGTCTGCTTCTCCTTCTCACTCTCCGTCTATGCTCTCCCGATCTCTTTCTCTCTCAAATAAATAAATAAATAAAATCTTTTAAAAAAATAAAATAAGAAAGTACACAGGAGTAGTAGACGTTATTATTAGTGTGACTAGTAATAGGTCCCAGTATTGGGCTCAGGCTTTTGCCTGGAATTTCAGCGTGGACCTGTGGTCTCTGGATCTCACCAGCTGATCTCCAGCTCCCAGGGAGGCCATGGCTATGTCAGTCCCGTTGGAGTGGCTGCCCCACCCCTTTGCTGCTATAATGGGAAAAAGCAGGACTTGCTCTTATCCTTGACCTTGCCACCATGCATGAGTGGGAAAGGGCCCAAGTGAGCTGACATTCACTCAGGCACTTGGTGTTAGTTATTTCACATCAGAGAGCGTTACCATGGAGGCCAAGCACAGAAGTATTCGCAAGGCTTCTTAGACAAAACTGTGTCACCTGAGCTGACGCTAGTCCATGTGATGACAGTGCCACCAATGTTAATGAAACATGTCATTGTTTAAACCCTTCCTGGTGACAGACACTGTGCCAAGCACTTATAGATGTAACTTGTTGAATCCCTTCACCATCCCCGGGAGGTTTCATACTGTTACTCCCATTGTGTAGATGAAGAAACTGAAGCCCCGAGACCGGAAACCATTTCCCTAGATGGTATAGCTAGTAAGCATCGAGCTGGGACTCAAGCCCAGGCCCATTGATTCCAAACCCCAAGCTCTTGAGCTTCCTTTACCCTCTCTCCACGGGAGGACAGAGGAAGGAAAAATGGGAGAACTGGTTTCTTCCTTTCTCTGAATTTGGTATAAGCGGGAGAACCGTGGAAGGTGTTTGTTTTGAGAAGTTTCTAGGTCTGGTAACTTCTGGAGGAGTGATAGCATGGAGAGGCCCTTGCATTGCTGACCTCCTGTATTCTGAGCTGGGAAAAAGCTTTTCATGATTTTGAGAAATCTTTTCAAAATGGTTGTTTACAAAAACTGGAAAAATCGATGTTTTGCTTAGGTGACATGTAATAGGGATACCCCAAGGTAAACACATTTTCTTTGACATTTGAGATCAAAGACAATCCGAAGCAGCTCCGTTATTTATTCGTTTGAGGAAGTCCTCAGTGGAAGTATAGAGAAAGGAAGTTAGACGAGTGAAAGAAAACCCTGCAGTTTCCAAGCTGTGGGCTAAGTGCACGCTCTCCAGGAGCTCACCTCATATCTCTGTGTTGCTGCTCTCTGCCCGTTCCTGATCTTGTGAACACCCACCATTTCCCTTTCACTCCTGACGTCAGGGAGTTAAAAGAAAAGAGAAACAGAAAACGTACCAATAGAATTTACATAAAGATTATCCAAGGTTGAATCATAGGGTTTGGAGGCCTACTCAAATTAAGATAATTTGCAAGGATTATGCAAAAATAGTAGCTTGCGCATGTGAAATTGCTGTTATTTTAACACAGAAAAGTAGCAATTTCATATAGTCAGTACCACATACTTAGGACATTTTCTGCTGCTTTATCTTGGCGTTAGCTTCGGAAAGTGCTTTCACTTGTACTATGATAATCTCTCTGCTTGTATAACGTTGCAAGATGGGCAAGACATCTGTTTTAATTTCTATTTTGCAGTTGAGGGAAGTAACACTAAGTGAATAAATAGCTCATCTAAGTTCAGAAAGCTAGTGCCACGAGGGACCTGTAACAGATTAGAATGTATTGGTTGCAATTAAACAAAAACAAAGAAACAAGGGACAAAACCCCCCCAACCCCCAAAACCTCAAACTGCCTTAAGCAAAAAGCAAGCAAACAAACAAACAAAAAAACGAAATTGGAGGATTTATTGGCTCCTGTCCTGTTTAGAATTGGATCCCAGAACTCAAATCATGCCATCAGAATGGGGTGCCCTTCATCCTCAACTCTGCCTTCTGCTGTGCGGGCTTCATTTCCAGACAGGCTTTTCCTTCATGTCCCCAAGTGGTGCCAGCAACCCTTGGGGATGTATCTCACGGGTTTAAAGCTCGTGGCAGAGAGTCAGCATCTTTGAACCTGTGTCCCCTGAAGTGCTGAGATTCACTCTGCTTGGATTGGATTGGGCCATGAGTCAACCTGATGCAATTGTTGATGCGAGTAGCGAATGCTGTGCTTGAACTGATCCAGCCTGGGTCCCCGTGCCCTCCTCTGGCTGGAGTGGACTTCACTGGAAACACATTGACTGGAAGTGGGGAGACGCTACTGAGGACGTCATACGTGGCCAGTTCAATTGCTCCATGCAACTGTCTGTGAGTCTAGGAAAAACAGCCTTGGAGGAAGGATCTAACACACCGATTTCTTTGCAGTGACAAGTAGGAGTTTCAGCAGCGAAGTGCAAGACTACGACAGAGAGGGACAGAACATGACGCCTGTCGACCAGTGTTCTCCTTCTCTGAAGTGGCAGCCATACCAAAGCGTGCCTTGGCACAGTTTATTCACTGGTCATTATGAGAAACTGTAAGTGTCCCAGGGCCCCCTGGTGGTGTACTGGGGAGTGAGGGAAGAAAGGCCAGGTTAACTCCCAAGACTAAATCCGAGGATTTGGGCTTTGAAGCCACCCCTGATCAAATAGGATGGGTCCATGAGGAAGTGTGTCTTACTCCTTATGTTTTGCATTCCAACTAATGAATAGTTGGGACATGGGTTTCTGGCCTTTTGGAATCCAGACTGTAATTCTGACTCATTACAATTTACCCACTAAATGATAGAGGGGAGAGTGAATCTTTCTGAGACCATAGACCCAGTTCAAACTACGAGCTGGAAAATGGGGATTTCCCAAATCAGTAACATTTAATCCTGCAGTTAATTTAAAATTCCACAGAATACTGTTTTGGGGGCCACATTAAATTGCTAGCTGGTGACATCCCCCCTCCTCTAATATCTATGCTGTGAATCAGTATCGTCAAGCTCATTGTCAACACATACTGCAACCATCCTAGCTGGTGGTGGCTTTGAATTTAGAGACTGAAATGAAACCACTCAAAATATCTTTAAACTGGAAAATTTTCATCCTAATCTTATGATATTATAGTTTCAAGAAATCAATGTGGACTTACGTATTATTGCTCAGAGCCTTCTCTTTATTCCTTAGAGTATAATTTACCTACCTAAGTCTTCTAGAATTTTCAAGATTATAAATACCTTCTTGAAAAATCTAAAAAATGTTAATGGTTAAAGAATAGGACTTTCAAGCAATAAATATAATATGAAATGAGAAATGTTGATCCACAAACTTGAGGGCCTTCCATGGTATTTTCCAAATTCAAATATAGCTTCTTTAAGAGCAAAACTTATCACTAGGACTTTCGTGTTGGTTGAACTAGAAGGAAGAAATCTTTTCCTTAAAACAAATTCTAAGGACTTAAACAGACTTTGGGAGTTGGTGTGTTGAATGGGAACCAGAATGAAGCAAATTACTAATTGTCTCATTGAAATGTGACAACTTTGTGGATTTGCCACTGTGTTCAATTAGAAAAAGAAAGGAAGGGTCCACTGGTCTTGGTTTTGAGTCTTAGCCTTCATTTGATTATCTTTTGGGGAGTAGTCCATATATGCTATCTTTAATATGAGTACCCAGGTATGAAACCCTTGATCAAGTTTTTGAGACAACTTATCCTTCTTCTTACTTGAGTAGATTTTTTTAAAGTTTATTTGAACAGCCAATCTAAGCTCCACTGATCTGGAAAAAAAGGAGAACATGGATGGTATCAGCTTAAAGGTACAGAGGCAGATTTATTTTGAATGCTTAGACATAATTCACTTTTCTTAAGTGCAAGAAAAAGACAATATTAATCTACATTAGACTTTAGGTTGTCTTGATTTCACTACTCATATCACTGAGACAGAAAATCACTTGTCTCAGATTATTATGTCTAATTTGTCACAAAAATATTGTTTCCTTAAATTACCTAAAAGCAATAAAGTTAGGGGGTTGAAAATTTATCAAAAACTTTTTTTTTTCTGAGTGATACTGAAAACTTGTGTTAAAAGAGCTTTTAAAAAGCCAGTTTAGTTGACTTTATGTATAACTTTTGATATAAAAAACAGAATCGCTATTTTTAGGTAAACAGATTTCTATAACCAGAGATTGGTGTTTAAGATTCAGAATAATCTTCAACTGCATAATAGCTGTTCGTTGATTCTGTTTCTGCTTCTAACTGTCTCTAAATTTCAGGCTAATGCTCATATCTGATCTGTAAACCTTACCTCCTTCCTTCAGAGTTTTTGATAGTGAAACATGAAGATCACAAAAAGATATTTCCTTTTTTCTCCATCAAGACAGTTCTTATTACCCTCTGCAGAAAAATCTATACAATTCCATTCATCTAGACTTTAAATGAGTAAATTAGAAGATTAGTTCTAGAAGCGTGAGTCAATATGAAGTTTCCAGATGACATAAGACATGTCTTTATCAAATCCTTCATTCAGTGAATGGTCTTGACTTTGGTGCTGGCAGGCACCATGATTGTGGAGGCTTTGACAAGTCAGCTACTTGGGAGTAATCAATGACCCAGTGACTTGATCCACTGGGAATGTGCTTAAATTGCAAAGAACATGAACACTCTTTTCTCCAAGAGACTCATTCATATTTTCTGTCTCTGGAATTAGAGGAAAATTTAGAAACTTAGTGTTGTTCATTATAATGGCAGCCATCCAAATTGAGATCCCAGGAAGCACAGAACCACACACAGTAAGTCCTGCCCTCCTCTGCTTCCGGTCCCGAGGAGAAGCTTCTTTCCTGAGGAAAAATCCACATTTAGGAATCTTGGTGAATTAAAAATCATGTTCCATACCTACAACATGTATGGGAAAAACTCACTAAAAAAGTTTCACCTTCTATATTCTCTTCTCTACTCAGTAATGTTACACATGTAAGGTGTTTTAGTTTTATTAACATTTAAAGGTATTTAATTAAATATGTGATACACAAAGCCTTGATATTGAACGAATTTGATAGGATAAATAAAGCAAGGGTCTGATTAGCCACCCCACTACTTTTGTTCTCAGCAGAAGTAACCAGCATAGTAGGTTTTCAGTGCTATTATCAGATCAGGAGGATAAAAAGGAAATGACCAAACTCTGGTGAAAATGGGTTTTCTTTCTTTTTTTTTTTTTTTTTTTATTCTTACGTTAATCCCCATACATTACATCATTAGTTTTAGATGAAGTGTTCCATGATTCATTGTTTGTGCATAACACCCAGTGCTCCAT